CGGGGGGCGGCGGCGGCGGCGCTGGCCCGGGGTTCTCCGGAGGGAACTAACACAGGCGACGCCCTCCCGCGGCCGCCGGCAGCGGCGCGGAGATGCCCCGCCGTGTCCGGAGGTCCCCGCCCCGGCGGCTGGGGCCACCCCGCCACGGACCCTCGCCCCCCTGGTCAACGGGGGGAGGCCCCCGGGGGAGCCCTGCGTGTCCGGTGTGACCCCCCTCCCCTCCTGGAGGATGAGAAAAGCGCGGCGGTAGCGCTGGGGAGGGGCCGGGAAGCCTCCGACCGGGCCCGGGGCCGTGGGTGTGGGGGAGTGTGCGAATCGTGCAGCCCCTGCGTGCCGTGGCAGCGGGCGGGGGTCGAGCCCCGCGGCAGGGGCGGCTCTCTGTGGGCTGGGGGAAGGGGGCGATGCTCTGAACTGAACCACCCCCATCCCCATAATTCACCCCATCTCCCCAAATCCCACCGGGGAAACGCGGCTTTGGGGGAGGGGAGTGCACGACGGCTCCCTGGCCGAGCCCCGGCGCTGCCCCAGCAGGATCCGTGTGCCCCCGCCGTGACCGGGGCCGGGACACGCGGGCACAGGCACCGGGGCGTGCCCGGCTGTGCGAGCACCCCTGCGCACACAGATACACACACACACACACAGATACACACACAGATAAACGCACACATCGCATATGGATACACACAAATGCACACACGCACACACAAATGCACACACACACACACAAATGCACACACACACAGATACACACAGATACACACAAATGCACACACGCAGATGCACACACACAAACGCACACATCGCACATACACACACAAACACATACATGCACACACACACACACGCGCACACACACACATATACACACACGAATGCACACACACAGAGATGCACACATCGCACACACACATATACACACACGAATGCACACACACTCGCACATACATGCACACACGCACACACACACACAAACAGAACACACACACACACAGATGCGCACACACACACACATGCACACTCGCACACACTCGCACACACACACACGGTCACACCCGCACTCGCTGCCGCACCCCGCCCCCTGCCCACGCCCGCCGGGCCCGCACAGCCCCGCCGCCCTCCCTTTCTCCTCCTCCCTCTCCCATCCCGGCTCTCTCCGCCATTTCCTCGCCCACAGCCCGCGGTCTCGGCTCCGCGGCGATGGCGGCATCGGCGTGACCCCGGCCCGAGCCCTGGGGTGCCCCGCTCCCCCGAGGAGGAGCCCCAGAGGAGCGGGGCTCTGCCCCGGGCAGCCCGGCCCGGCCCGGGCACGGAGAGCGCACAGCCCCGGCAGCCGGGGCTGCCCACCGGGGCACCGAGCCCCGGCACAGCCGGGGTGCGTGGTGTGCACCATGTGTAACACGCAAACACACACCTGCACGCGGGTGAATGTGGCCCCGCAGCCGGCTGTAGTGTGTGGTTGGCATGTATGGTGTGTCTGCTACAAACGTGTGATGCCTAATAGCTGTTGTTTAGTGTAATAGTACACTGAATTTAAAATGTACATAAAATACACATAAAGACATAGCTATATGTTCTTAAATATTGACGTAAACATGTGAAAATTTAAGAGCAATACATGTGTGTGGGTGGGTGGGTGTGCGGGCAGGGCTGGGCAGTGAGGGCCCTGATCCCAGTCCCCGGGAGCAGCACCGGGATCCAGCCCCATCCCCAGGCACGGGCAGCCAGGGCTGTCCCTGAGGGCTCCTCTCCCGCCCCTCCAGAGACAGGGAACGGAACACACACGTGGAAATGTGTGTGTGGATAGAATGTGTGGGGGAGGCTGCCTGCGTGTGAGAGAGAAACACAGGGAATGTGAGAAAATAGCCCCAACACACACAGACACACAGACAGACACACAGACACACAGACACACATACAGACATATACACAGACATACATACAGACATAGCTACAGAGGCAGTGTGAGGGGTCACAGGCAGCTCTCTCTGGCTATATGTACCCCCATGCTGGCGTCTATAGAAACGGGGGCTGAGAGCGAGCGTGCTGCTCAAACATTCTCACTCTGCACACGCAGACATACGTGCATAATGCCTGTAATTTATACTGGTGTGGGGATGAGCTCTCACACTCCTGCCCTCTCTGTGTGCACACAAATACATGCACGACATTCCCTCTGACTACATACTCCATATGTGTATGCATAGAGACACAGGGTGGGAGCTGTTCACACACATCATTCTCTATTCCTGTATAAATACATATATTTATATATATATGTATATAAATATATTATATATTCCTCAGGAATATATATATATATATTCCTGAGGAATATATATATTCCTGAGGAAACGAGCAAGACCTATTGTCTCACACACACACATTTTCTATCACTCTGTCTCTCTCCCTGCCCTATCTAATTGTATCATTTCTGTATAATTCTTTCTCTGTACACACTATAGAGTGAGAGCTTTTCTCACTCAGTACTGGCTCTTCATAGTGTACACGTGTACAGAGAGTGTTCACTAATAATTATCTATGCATGAATTTATACTATATAATTAGAGGGAGCATTGCTTATACATATTGTTCTCTGTTCACATATATGCACATATCCCTGTATACTGAGCTGTTTCTACAATGACAGTACTTTCTGTTCCTGCATAGATATGTATATATGCATATATACATATACCCTCAATGTACACAGACGTTCACAGAACATAGGGGAGAGCTGTTCACACACATAATTTGCTCACTGTATGGGTATACATTTATTATTTAGGGAGAAAGCTGTAACATATATAAATATATATATATATGCACTTCTATATGTAGAGAGAGCCTGTTTTCTCACATAATTCTCTACATATTTTTACATACATTTTACATTATACACATATAATTTGGGAGACAGCCGACTGCACACACACAACCCTCTCTTGCTGTATATAAATAAATGCACACATACACACACACAAAAATGTTCACACAGCAATAGTCTGTGTGAATAGTTCACACTGACAACAGTCTCTGTTCACACCTATCCTCTCTCTTGCCCTATCTATATATTTAGACATATATAAATAACAAAATGAGTGAGAGCAATTCATACACACAAACACAGTTTCCATGACTCTCTCTCTCTTTGCCCCCCTCCACATGTACTCTCTGGGATACATAAATATACATTATCTGTGTATATATGTTGGTATATTCTCTCTCCATACACACAGGAGTAGAGATAATAAGAGCCATTCTCACACACAGTACTCTCTCTTGCCTTATATATGAGTATATAGATGCATATATACATATATATATACAGATTTCATGCACAGTTCTCACTCTGCATTGTGCTTAAAGGGCTGTTAACACTCACAATTCCCTTCCTCTCTTCCTGCACACAGATATATATATTTATATACATGCATCTACACAGAGAGACAGTTCTTTCACACAATTACACAACTTTATTGCCACACACACGTGCACACTCTCCATGTATGTATACATATATATATATACTTAGATACTAGGGGGATGAAATAGCAGGTATGGTATATATAATATATTGAATATAAAGTACATTTCTAGCTTATACAGACTATATATTTATAGATGTGCATATATACACACACACTGAGCTGTTCAGAGAAGTGTTTTCACATACAACACTTTCTGATATATATAGTCTCTCTGTATGTTTATACATATGTTCTTACCTATGAAATGCTTTTTTTTGGTAATAGATAAACTGATATACATACATATATTTGTATACATATATATATATATAAACTTCACACAGAGAATTCTCTTTCTGTATGCATGTATACATATATAACTGGAGAAAGCACTGTTTGCACACTCATGTATATGTATAGAGAGAGCAAGAACACGTGAGCTGCTCACAGATGTGCACAATTCTCCCACTCCATGTATATCCACAGATCTGTGCTTAGAAAGGGATGAGAGCCCTTTGCATACAAGTTCACCTGAAATATATTTATTTATTTATTTATACACACACACATAGGTATGTATGCATCTACAGAGAGAGCTGTTCTCCCACACACACTTTTCCCTTTTTATAAATACACACACATATATGCATATATACTGTATATGGAGGGCAGAGAGAGTGAGAGTTCATTCACCTCTCTGCATTTATTTGGATATGGGTAACTATTCACCCAGATTGTTCATACAACACACAATCCCTTTTGCTATATATCCACATACATATCAATACATAATTCTGTATATTTTTACATGTATAATTAGAGATACACACACACACACACACTGTACACTTAAAACCACACACAATGCCCTTTCTCTCCCTGCATGCACATACACATATATGTGAAATTGTACACATAAACACAGTGAAATTCTGGGCTGCTCAGTCTTTCTCTTGCTCCACACACACCCCCCCAGGTGCCTGTGTACAAATGTGAAGCACACGTGCACTATCCACACACACAGAGCATTCCCCATGTCTCCAGCCACACACACTTCAGACATTTACTTATATATGTAACTGATTCTTATATATGTAACTGATTGTGTGTGTGTGTCTATTTTCTACCGTTCTTCCCATTTTTTTCCTTTTTTCCCCCAAGAAGGAGAGAAAGACCTACACAGAGCATGGTAAAAAACACCCCCATCACCTCCCTCCCCCTGTAAAAATGGATGTGGGCTATCTGTGTGTGTGTGTGTGAGAGGCTGTGGTGTCCCCCACCCTCTCTTCTGCCCCCATATGTAATATCTGGGGTGCAAACACAGTGTGTATGTGTGCATGTATTGATCTGGACATATATTCTGTCTGCATGCATGTATATGTAAAACAAGCACAAGGGAGCCAGTCATT